TGAGTTCTTGGAAAATTTGGATGTATACTTAACCATTTTTGTATAATTTTTTATAATTCAAAATAAGAAAACAGTCAAGAGAAGGTGTAAAAAATGGACATATTTCAGCCCCTATTTGGCAAAAGTAGAACATTTCTGAACATTTTCTGTAACTAGCTAAGAGACTTTCTATTTTTGCTTTTGGATTTTTTTCTTAACTTTTCCTTGTAGAACTCTTCTAGCTCAAAATTATTCCTAGGTCTCTTTGCATGTTTTACATGTAGAAATCTTTCTATATCTCAGCCAGCAATGCTCAGCCAGCAATGTGACCTCCTGACACATGTTTTTACATGGGATGTCTGTGCACATATAAAAAGGGTAGTGTTAATGTTGCAATGCCCACTTTGTCACTTGCTCCCTTTTGCTCTTTTGTGTGGATCCACATCTCCCCACAGATTGTTAATAACAGTCAAGTCTGGGATTGTAAAGGTGTTTCAAAACTTTTATTTTTCTCTCCTGTAAATATTTCATAATTTATTTGGAAGTTGGGTTATAACTACAAATATAAGAACCCAAGGAATTTAAATTTTTAAGAAAATTTATTAATCAGCAACTCTTGTTTTTGAATAGCAAGTCTTATTCCAAAATCCTCACTTTGCTATAAAAATGTTGAAACTTGACCTAGAAATTTTCTTGGCTTTCTTGAAAGGTACATGTGAATTGCTCCGTTCTGAAGGCAAGGTACTTCCAAACATGGTTATGAAATTATTTCTTTTTTTATATACAGCATCTATATAGTGTCATTTCTAATGTGACATCTATATTTTTTCACAGAAAATCTGTTTAACTATTTATTTACTAGATTTATAAGACTGCCCAACTCAGTGTGACTGTGGGTAGCATATATCAACAAGAAATAATAAATCAAGGAAAAACCCAATTAACATAAAACATAGAATAAATATAAAATAAAAAATGCTGGCCAAGCGCAACAATAAAAACAACCAAAAATAAATTCTGTTCAACTGGACCCAAATGCCTGGAGAAGAAGCCTGGTTATAACAACCCTTTCCCAAAGGTGAGCAGAGTTGGAGGCTATCCTATATCGAGGGTGGGAGTATGGGCCACCGCTAAAAAAGTGGTTCAAGTCCCATAAGGTGGTAAAGTTTAACGGAGAAAATCTGGAACATGCCCTATCTGGCAGGCAGAGGTTATGGGAAAGGTTGATTCCAAAAGTAACCCGGTCCTTGCCATGTAGGGTTGTAAAGATGATAGCTAGCACCTTAAATCACACCCAGAAACCTGTGGGAGCCAATGCAGCTTGCGGTGTAGTGGTATACATGGGTATAATTGTGGATATAACTACCTGAGCTGCTGCATTTTGGACCAACTGAAACTTCTAGATGTTTTTTATAGGCAGCCACATGGACAGTATGTTGTAGTAGTTTGAATTAGGTTACTAAGTGGTGAATGACCATGAGCAGAATCCAGGAATGGTCACAACTGGCACGTGAGGCTGTTGGGCAAAATTCCCCTGGCCACAGCTGCCATTTTCATTTTGAGCAGGAGCTGTGAATCCAGGAGAATCGCCCAGATTGTATACCAAGTCTGAACAAGGCATTGCTATCTCATCCTGGGCCAAAGATTGACACACTCCAACTCCCAGATCTAGAAGATCTAAAACCCATTACTACTACGCAGTCTTGGCAGGACTGAGCCACAACCTGTTCTTCCCCATCCAGTTCCTCACAATCTCTGGATACTAGGATAGAATGTTAACCTCACTCAACCGGCTGGGAATAGAGATGTACAACTGGGTATCATCAATGTTTTGATGATACCTTGTATCAACAAATAACCACACCTAATAGCTTCATGTAGCTATTTAAAAAGAGGAGGACACCACTGACCTCTGGCTGAACTACTCCTTTCCCATCAACACTGATTGTAACTGACCATAGCAGAAGGTGGAGAACCACTGCAAAATGGTGCCTCACATTCTCAGGCCCACAGAAGGATACCATGGTTGATGGTATCAAAAGCTGCTGAGAGATCAAATAGTACCAGTATGGATTCACCACTCCTACTCCAGCTTACTACAGGTCATCAGTAAGTGCAATCAAAGTCATATGAAAACTAGATCCCAGTCTTCATTCTATTTCCTTCCTGGAAGAACCTATTTTCCACTCATTAAAAAAAAAATGCTCGTGTAAAAGATCTGCTAGGTGATAGCAGCCCCAAAATAAACATAAAATGGAATGAAATAAAATGAATTAGAGCAATAGAGCCAAACTAGACATTTAACACCCTCTGTTTGTTTCTTACAAAGCCTGTGGATAGTATAAATCATAAGGACTAAGGGGCATAGGAATTTTTTTTTTTGTACTTTCTACTCCCTGCCACTTTCAAGATGAAAATATCCTTGAAACAGACTATAAATAAATATATATCAAATATAAATATATATATTTGCTGTTCTGTTTTAATCACACTATTCTGTTTTAATCACACTGATTCCCCATGCTACAGAAATATTATTTAAAGAGAAAAAGTAAAAAAGAGGAAACAAAAATGCAGTCATGTGTTTATCATCATGTCAGTTTTAGCTTGTCATATGATGTATCATAAATAAATGTAGTGAATTAGCATTTCGGAGGGTTGGAATTTTCCATTATTGTTAAACAATCTTTAAATAGCTTTAAAAAAAAACGTAATGGCTATAGTACAGTTGTAATTATCTCACTAAATGTACATAATTAAAGCAACAACATTTTACAGGTAATTTAGCCTATTAGTAGACCTTGAAGCAAAATGTGGAAATGCAGTGTATTATGAAATTAAAACTTTTTACGTATTTGTGAGAAGAGAATTTGTCATCCCCTTTATTTAGCAACTCCACTGAGTTCATAAACGTACAAATAAGTAAGTGCATATATTTTATTGGGCAAAAAATAAGTGCTTTAGCTGTCATCCATTTTAGCCCCAGCTGCTTTTAAAGAAAGTAAATTGAGAAATTCATTATTTTCCAGATGTTGTTGAATTTCTCTTTGTCTGTTAAAATTAAACAATGATGGATTTTATGATTTAACAGACAGCTAAATGGAATATTTCACAAATTTGAAACCTTGCTGAAACTACTTTGATGCATACAGATGCAATCCTACTCAGTCTACTTGGACATTCCATTGGATTGAATATAACCTCCAGATTATATCTGAATACAACAATTTTGAACTACTAAATTTTAATAATCCTTAGAAAAAGGAGAATCCAATACGCATTATTATCAGGAAAATTTCAAATATATCTTTACCAGTAAAAAATCTAGTAAAATCTGAACTCCTATCTCGTCTTTCACCAATTTTTTTTCACATACAGAAAGGAAAGCCATTAGACCTGAGAATAACCCTTGGTGTAGAATTCTACTCCACTGGCTTTGTGGCTGTACTCATGTAGTTTTCTTGACAATGTATGTCATGCCTTCCTCTAGGATGATTTTTCCAGTATAGTCAGAGTGCTAACATTACTTGGTGACCTCTTATCCTAATTAATATTTGGACAGGAGATCACCAAATAAAGTTAGGACTCTGGGCCAAGTGTTGGTTTGCTTTTTTTTAAATTGAGTTTAGCTGAGATCAACTAGGTGCTTCCACCTAGTGGGACAACAAGTGTATATACACACAGATTGAATGAATCTACAGTAATTGACTTTTAAAAATATAAGTTTTAAAGATAAAGTTTGCTGCTGTTGGACTTACTCCCTTTTTCCTTTCCTAATAGGAAATCTATCTATATTAAAAGTCTGAGAGTAACTGATGTTATCTTTTGTGATTTGATAATCAAACAATGGTTAAGTCCCTCGATTTGCTGTTTTACTAGTTCCACAGATAACTGACATTCTTGCTTAATTTCTTACTGCTCTTTATATGACAGATACATATTTGCTTATTTTATGTTGATTTTAAATAGATTTCATTCTTTTGCCATAGCTTAAACAAAATTCTAGCACTGCAGTTCTCATTTAAGTTTCATATTCAGGTTAAGAAAGTGGGATGAAAGTGCAATGTCATATTTCAATTATAATGGAGAATTGTTTAAGTTATCAATGAAGTTGCTAAAGGAGAGCATGCCTTTAAACTGTTACAACACAGTTCAGTTAGAATGTGTGCTTTCTTCAGGAAATGCATCAATTAGATCAAGGTTTCTCAAACTGTGAGTTGCCTCCCTTGGGAAGGTGCAGCCAGAGCCAGAGGACGTGGGAAAAACCTTTTAAGTTGCATGTTGTTATAATAAATCCCTTTTCCTCCAAATTTGACTGTATTCTTTTTATTGTTCATTTGTATTTATTTTATGTTTGAATTTTTAGGTGAAGTGTGTACATTAAAATTACACTGAAAGGAGATGTGATGACAAAAAGTTTAGGAAGCCTGAATTAGATAGCGAAAATGAAATAAAGTATTCTTCAGTTAAAATAAAAACTTTATAAAGAACTTTAGAATGTATATTTTCTTCAGGAAAATTCAGGCAAAATATAAATATAACATTGAACAGTGGAAACATATTTTAAAATTTTCTACTAGGCTGGCTGGCCTTTGTTGGAAACTGGATATTACAGATAGTCCTCAATTTACGACCAGTCACTTAGCAACTGCTTGAAGTTCCAATGGATCCCAAAAAGGGTACTTGTAACCTGGATTTGAAGTTTTGACAGCTATCATCCCCCTCCACAGTCACATGATTGAATTTGGGGCTTTTGATAGGACGGAACATTTATAATAAATATGTTCTGCTTGGGCAAGTTCAAATTAACAAAAGTAGAAATAAATCATGTCAATATAAAATGTTAAATATTAAATGGAATCATTTTTAGAACTTATTTTCTCATTTATTTCAGGATGCAATAGAAGCAATATTTAGAAAATTGTAAAATCATGTATTGTTCACGTTCAATGCTGGCATATTTTTCCTTTGTTCAAATGAATATATTTAAAACCTTTTCTGTTCCCCTCCCTTATTCTTAGGTAAACATCTTTGACCACGATGAGTTGGAGTTTCTTGACCCGTCTACTTGAGGAGATCCACAATCATTCCACATTTGTGGGGAAGATCTGGCTGACTGTGCTGATTGTATTCCGCATTGTTCTCACTGCTGTGGGAGGGGAATCCATCTATTATGATGAACAAAGCAAATTTGTTTGCAATACAGAACAGCCAGGTTGTGAAAATGTGTGCTATGATGCTTTTGCCCCCCTCTCTCATGTGAGGTTTTGGGTATTTCAAATCATCCTAGTCTCTACTCCCTCAGTAATGTATTTAGGCTATGCTGCTCACAAAATAGCTCGGATAGTGGAACATGGCGAAATGGAACGGAAGTTACGAAGCAAACCTCTTCTAATGCGTTGGAAACAACACCGAGGTTTAGAAGAAGCAGAAGACGATAATGAGGAAGATCCAATGATGTATCCAGAGATTGAAGTAGAGAGTGAACGAGAGAACAAGCAAAATCCATCCCTCGCAAAAATAAAGCATGATGGTAGGAGGCGAATCCGAGAAGATGGGCTTATGAAGATTTACATCTTTCAACTGCTGAGTAGGACTATATTTGAAATTGGCTTCCTGATAGGCCAGTACTTACTCTACGGATTTGAAGTCAGTCCAACATTCCTTTGTAGCAGAAATCCGTGTCCCCATACTATTGACTGTTTCATTTCAAGACCCACAGAAAAAACCATATTCCTGCTCATCATGTATGGTGTGAGTGGTCTGTGTTTACTTCTGAACATTTGGGAAATGCTTCACTTGGGATTTGGCACCATTCGGGACACCTTGAATAACAAGCGGAAGGAGCTAGAAGATTCAGGAACCTATCATTATCCTTTTATTTGGAATACCCCATCAGCTCCTCCAGGGTACAACATTGCCATGAAACCTGACCAGATTCAATACACAGAGTTGTCTAATGCCAAAATAGCACATAAGCAAAATAAAGCCAATATTGCCCAAGAACAACAATATGGCAGCAATGAGGAGAACATTCCCACTGAACTGGAGAATATCCAGCGAGAAATCAAAGTAGCTCAGGAACGCTTAGATCTTGCCATCCATGCATATAATAATCAGAATAATCCATCCTGTTCCAAGGAGAAGAAGCCCAGAGGCAGCTCAAACAAAAGCAGTGGCAGTAGTAAATCAGGGGATGGGAAAACTTCTGTTTGGATTTGATGCTGTTCACTTGACAGGGAATGCTACCGTTTTCTTGTAGCATATTATATCTAGCAAATTGGGTGCGAAATATTTCCAGTAAAAAATAATTGGCCTTGCTAAAGTTCAGAGATATTTCGTGCTGCTAAATGGTACTGTGCAAAAGAACAGAAGAGAAAAGTAGTTATGCTCACAAACATGTATTCATGTATTCTTCCAGATCTGCAGAAGTCCCAGGGATTTTTTTAATTATTTTTGTTAAAACAGTTTACACTGAATGTACAGTATTATGGTACCTTTTATTATGCACATTTTTGTATTTGTATATTGGATATCTCAGTTATACATTTTATATTAAAAGGAATCAAATAGGAATTTTCAACATTTTTCTAAAGCATTTTTCTCCTCACATTTCATAGAGATTGTGTGATTTACTTTGAATTTCATAGAGGTTTGAATTATGGAACAGATAATTTTGGATGACTGTCATGCCCTTTCTGCATTCTTGTCCCAGCCAAATAAATTAAATACTAGGTTAGTGAAATGCGTCTTCAGATGTAGTCAGATTTTTTTTCCTGTAGTGAATATCCTTGTATATAAGTGGGCCAAAAGAAAAAAGAATTTCAGACTGGCTTCTAGCACATAACCTTGCATTCAGTTTATGAATCTTCTGAGAAAAAAGTGCCTGGAATTGACAATATTTTCTGAATTAAAAAAAGTAAGAGTTCAACCACTGTGAAAATAAAACTTCATATACCTGATAGTTAATTTAAAACATATATTTGATATTGCAAAGTAGGGAAAGCAATTGGGTATACTCTAAATAATTTATACTGCAGTCTCCGAATTACTGATTTACATTGCTTGGAATTTTAGTCCAAAAATCTAGTTTGCCTATCCCCACTTTAGGGATGACTTTATCAATTCTTGATCTTGCAAACAATTTAAAGTTTAGAAAGAAGACAAGTTAAATTATTGTTGATACAAAGAAAGGCCTGCTTTCTTTAAATTTGAACCAGTATTCAAATGGTAGGGAAAAAAATCTTGATTTGAGGGAAATATAAACAGAATTAAAAATACTTGCCTTTGTTTTGAAGTGGGAAATGTTATTTTAAAGACATGTGATGTACAATATAGTTCTTCAGGAAGTTCTTTATTGTGAGGAACGAGGAATTGGGAATTTGAAGTGATGGAAAAATTTGTACTTTAACACATATATTTATTTTAGCAGTGTCCAAGATCAATCTTCCTCCTTGGTCTTTTAAATTCCTATCCTGTTATTAATGTATTGCTTGCAAAAAGCAGCAGGAAGCTACTTGGGAGCATATATTCTAGTCTTGTGAAACTGCAGGCTGTTCTAATTAAATACATAGATCCTTTGAAGGAGTTTCAGCTCCATACAGCAAACTGGAAATCTTAACTTCTTTCCTAATAAGAAGACAAAACAATTAGCTTTTGGAGTTTGCCCATTATTTGGTTCATAGATTCAATGTATTTGAATTGCTGTGGTTTTATCATGGTGCTGAGCTGACAAAATTTGCACAATTTGGTAAGTAATACAGTTTGGATTTAATGCAATACATGCTCATTAGAAAATGGCTTTGTGTATTTTACTTCATTCAAGATATAGTAAAGTCTGAATTAAAAGCAATGGGTAGCAATGACACTATCCAAAGTGCTTGCCATTTTTCCTACTGCTGTGATACAATCACTGAATAAACTGGATTTGCAGAACCTTTCTAATAGCTATTTAAGTGGAAAATTGGGTTTTGTCCAAATTTAGATACATTCAATCCATTTTTGGTAGCAAATTGAGCTGCTTGAAATAGATACTGGTTGGGGATACTTAACAAGCAGGATAGGTAATGTGAGGAAGGACGGGTTATTCCAAAATTGGACAGGCATCTTTTTTGTGTGATGTTTAAATACAGGATACATCTGCCTGACTATTCCATTCACCACACACAAAGCCCGTCTCATTTAGCAGAATCCCAAGTTTTTTGTGCAATATTTTAAATGGCCTAGATACAAATGCATACCAATGTGCTGCTCTGCCTAAAACTTGGAAAATTGAATTGAGAAATATGGGTTTTGAATAAGAACAGTCATGCTTCTATTGAAAAATCTGTATCCGAAAAATTATTTAAGGAAATGTTGTTTTAAGATTATTTCAGTGTTGGTATTTAGCAGAGGTTATTCTAATTAAATGATGTAAATTTCTCCCAACCTACTTTTCTTATCACTTCAAATTCGGGGGCTAGGTGCATGTTTAACTTTTGTTTTACTGAAAAAAATCAGCCAAGATTTAATATTCAGCTTGTGTTTATAATTATAGAATGCAATATTTATTGCCTTTGGTGACATCTTATTGACAAGGGCAGTAAGGACAGAGAAAACTAAATGTTTGTGTACATTGATTAATGTTTATTAGAATTGTAGAACTGATCCATTCTCCTCCCTGGACTCTGACAAGAAGCTGCACTGATGTGAAACTATTTTGTACCTTTTTTTCTCCCTAGAATTTAGAGGCCTTTTGAGAAGTTTTGACATTTTCACTTTTTTTTAATTCTAAAAATTTAATTACCTTTCTTGAAGCAAGTCTCAGTTTACAACATATGAATCAGAAATGGAAAACCTGTGTTTACAATAACCCCAAGGCTTATAAAGAGAAGGCTAGATAAATTGGGACTTTCCTAAGACAGTACTCCCATAATCCTCATCATTAATCATGCTGAATGTAACCGATAGGATTTGTAATGAAATACATTTGGAGAGCATCTGATTCTGCTTGTTTTGTAGAATTTCAGCATCATTTTTTAAAAAAGGGATGTTTGCAGTCTTTTTTCTTTAAATGCACAAGACTGAGTGTAAAAATAGTGAATAGTTGGCCCAATACTTTGAAAACATCTGGCTTCTTCTAGAAGTAGCGTAATAGCTAGAGTTTCCCTAAAAGAGAATCTTTGATAGATGAGTAGGCTTATAAAAAGGTTGTTTTAAACATATAGCATTGATTTGCCATTTTAGGACCCCCTGCACCAGAAAAGTACTGTACCAAATTTTGCAATTTTTAACAAAAGATAGTTTGGATGCAGGATGTAAAAATACTGTGCATTTATGAATGCCAGCAGGAAATACTCAGCTTTTCAAGGACAATTTCAATACAAAACTACATTCAGTGAAAAGCTGAAAAAATTTATCAAGTACCGGTAAAATATTTTCCGGAACCTTTATTCATCTGCTGAATTGAATTTAATCAAGTAACAAAGTTAATAGTCAAATGTTCAGATGGTGCTATAAAAGGAGAGAAATTAGTTCATGAGTTTTATTCTGAAGTTCGTCTTGAATAAAATGCAGCCTGTATTGGATACAAGAAGTCTATTTCACCCATAATTTCATGTGTATGCATGTTTCTTCTTGCACTGAAAGATGCGTGGCATACATACAGGGTTTTGAAACATGAAAGATCATGTGTGTAACAGTAGCTGTTTCCATGACAGCAGATCCCAATATTGCCTTTCAAATGCCTTTCTTCTTTTTTTGCTCGGATAAAATATCAGCTGATAAGATAATTGTAATTATTTAGGATCCTTTTTAGACAAGCAAAGTGGGTGGATTGAGTCACATGCCAGTTCACACACATCCCATGTCCAAATAATAAAATCAAGGTTTTCATGCTTTTGGAAAGCGTTTTAGCTTTAGATAAGTAGCTTTGAAGATGAAGCAATGGGAAAATGTTTTCCCATTATCATGTTTCCCTGAAAATAAAACCCTGTCTTATATTTTTTTGAACCCTGAAATAAGCACTTGGCCTTATTGCCATGCACTCAAAAGCCCGATTGGGCTTATTATCAGGGGATGTCTTATTTTGAGGGAAACCATACTGTTTTCAGACATCAGCCTCAAGTAGAATGAGTGTTAGAAAGTAACTCAACCCATACGGCTGTTAGGTTTGCCTTTATTTAGTTCACTTCTTAACGAACTCCCGAAAGTCTAATAATGCATTCTACAAATAAAAGTACAATATGTTTGTGTCTTCAAATTATTGGAATGGCTGCAACAAAATATACAATCTCCTTTGATGTACTTTTAGGCTATACTACTTTTGCATTGTTGCAATCTGCCCTTTGCAGTCCAAGGGGGAGGGGGAGTCAACATTTTGTAGGATACCTGTCCCTATAAGGAAGGACAAAACCTAGATCCCAAAAGGTACTGTGTAAAAAGAAAGATTGAATTCTTTCTCCTGCTCCCAAAGTCAAGTGAAAAAAACCAAAATACTTAAAAACTTTCCATTAACCTAATCCATGAGTGAGAAACCATGTGAAAACCCTCATGTAAGTTTCTGTAAATTTGATAACAAGTAAAATTAATTTAAGAATATAAAACTGCAACATTACTTTGATAAAATTTTATTTGATTTTTCCATACAACCATAGAATCAAGGTCTGGTAACAGAAAACACCTGTCACTTGCAAGTTGAAGATCTCCTATTTAAAAAAAAAAGGGGGGGGGAAGCAGCATCAATGTGCTCATTCTGCATGGGGAAAATCACAGGACAGAACGCACTGAGATCATAAAAGACCACTGAGATAATAAAAGACAACCATCTTCCCTACCAACTGCTCTGGTGCCAAAATCCATGTATCATCTGAAACAAAACAAATGTCAATTACTTGTCTCAAAAGCAAGCTTGCATCTCCTTGCAGAAGTGCTAAGCCTTTCTTCAAAAAAAACAAAAACGGGGGGGGGGGGGCAGCTATGTATAAACAAAGAGTCAGATCTTAAGAAGAAATTGCTATTATACCTCATGAAAGGGTGGGTTAGGCAGCCCTTCTTTAAACAAAAATGACTCAGACACCTGCAGTGGTTCATTTGGACAATTAGCATCTCTGTATTTTGCAAACACTTATCAGAAAAAGACACTTTTGCTCATCAGAAATCAGGTGATGCCATCTAGAGCAATACACTAGGCCAAGCGGGAAGAAGATAGGGTGAGGTGGGACAAGGCTGGAAGGGGCAATGTGGCAAAATCATCTGCCAATCTTAATTTTTTTTTCTTTTTTGGAAAGCGCATTGAAACTTCCCTCTCTTTCAAAGTTAAGGAATGACTGAGGCAAAGAAAGTCATTGCGCCCATGAAACCTTCAGAGCAGAAGCTCAGGATGGCAGCTTTTTCAGATTCCAGGTTATAGCCCTCATGACTTTGGACAGGGCAGTGAATCATGGATGGAAAGGGGAAAAAAAGAAATGTAGAAGTAAAGGGGTTGACTTAATATAAGTGAAGATGGCCTATTTGACCCATAGTGTGATGACAAGTGTAGAATAGAAGGCATCCTTTAGAATCTGAATAGCAATTTGGCAAAAGTGGCCCTAGTTCATTCACCTTGTACCACTCTTCCTGAAACAGCTCACTCTAACTCAAGGCCTCACGCAAATCCACCTAAAAAGGCACTTCAGAGCAGGACATGGGCTTCAATAGAATGTGGGGAGATGGTGCCAGTGTCCCAACGGAGAGGCTTCTTTCTGTAGCAATGAAATCCAAACCAGGAACAACGAAAGCCAGAAGGACAGCAGTGGCGCCGGTCATGACAGCAGGTTCCCTATGAAATAGAAGAAGAGGTAATGAAGGACAGCAATCCTTAATGAAGAAACGAGAAAATGGCTTGAAATCTTTGCATGATTCTCAATAAATCTACAAGTTGAGGAAGGATGACCTGGAAAAATATTTAGTAATTAAAGACAAATAGCTTTAAATTATGAATCTACAATTTATGTGTAATACAGGGGCTTACATTATATCACAGCAATAGTAGGTTCTTCAGCTTCTGAAGAATTGTAGTTTCTTTTTTAGTAGTCTACCTGGCCTTACCAAACTTAAAAATGCACACATTTTGAAAAGAAGCGCTGTACCCATTGAATCTGAACATAATGATATGATCAAACCTAATTTCACCTGCCTTATTGGTTTTATCAATGCACGTGAGAAAGTTCAGAAGAACTCAAAACTTTGCATAGAAAATTTATGGTGGAATTTGAATTTTTATTCCTAGCAAGGCTGCCTTTGTTTTTTATACAATGGCAAAAACAATATTCTAGTAGAATATTGGTTGTCTTACTGTGCAGAGGAACAACATACTGTACATTGCTTTACTGATTTGGAGAGACCAGTCCTGTCTGCCCACCCACCCATGGCCTCCTTTGAACTATTCACAGTGACTGAATCTAAGTCTGGGCCGGGTATCAGCAACCTGTGACTCCAGAGCTGCATGCGACTTTTTCATGCCCCTGCTGTGGCTCCCGGTTGGATGAACCCACCACTGGCTGGTCCCATCTCTCGCTCTCCCCTGTGAAAGTAAGGGCAATGGCAGGGGATGGAGCAGGAGTGAAGTGCCCCTGTACTTGCCTCCTCTCATGGATGCTTCTTCAGGCCTTTGTTGGTGCTGCGCGCACCTCGGTGGCTTGGGGAGATGCATGACTTGCTCTCCGCCCTGAGACACTGGCCCTGCCCGCCTGCGGCCGCTGCCGCTGCTCTCACCACCTCCATAGCCTGCCCGCTGTTCTCCCAGCATAGTTAAATTTAGCACGCTTCACAATGGGGGAGATGGCATCCCCTCCTCTTCCTGCAGCCCATTGCAACACAGAGCATCGGCTGCGGCCAGGCTGGGCCAGTGTCTTGAGGCGGAGAGCTTCTCAGGGCAGGCGAAGAGTGACTGGGAAGGGAGAGTGAGGGGCCAGCCAGTGGTGGGTTCAGCTGAGGGAGCCACAGCAGGGGAACGAAAGAGCTTAATTTATCTGGGAACCTGAAATGAGTCCTGATTCAAATCTTATGGTAAAAAGCAACCAAAGAAGAAGAAAGAACAACATCAGCAAAAAAACCCACCTCCCAAACCTCGCCTGTTTTTGGAAATGGTTCAAGAGGGAACACACACACACACAGATAAACACCGGAGAGAGAGAGAGAGGGAGAGAGAGAAAGAGAGAGATGGAGAGAGATGAGAGAAAGAAATAGAGACAGAGAAAGACAGGGAGAAGAGAGAAGAGAGAGATGAGGGAGATGAGGGAGAAGAGGGAGAAAGAGAGAGAGATACGCGTTTCCCCACAGAAAAGAAAACACTGGGAGTCAAAAAACCTGGGTAGGCGTGGCAGGGGGTGTCATGTGACTGGGTGGGAATGAGTGATGTTGAGTTGGCCACACTCACCCAGGTTTTGTGGCTCCTGGTGTTTTCTGTGGGAAACTGATCCAAATGGCTCTTCGAGTGTTTAAGGTTAAGGTTTGGGCACTAACCTTTTCATAAGGGCAGCAGGCCCAGTCACCGCTCTTGGCCTTGCAGCAGGTCTGGCCCACATGGCAGTAGTGCTGTTCACCACACAAGACATCCTGACTGGAGACAGCAGTTTGTGATGAAGTCAGCAGGCCCCCTGCAGCGTCAACAAGGCCTGGCCAGTGCCGTTTCTCACAAGACTGGGCTGCCACATTGCAGGTATAGCCAGAGGGGCAGCAATGTTGGTGATCCTCACAGCAAACGGCCTGTAGAAAGCAAGAGAGGAGATACTGCTTGGTTGAGATAGAAATACAGCTTATAGTGGAACATTGTAAAGGAACTAAATAAAACTAATTTTATCATGGCTCTATTTTGCTTCAAAGAAACCTTCGTCCAGAAACATCCCTGTATTCCTTCTGTTTCTTATTTCCTTGTTAAATTTAAAATGTCTGAATTAAGATATGAATTAGATAGAAAAAACCAGAACAGCTGAAAGCTCTGAATGGCTCATGGATGACACTTCTCTCAAGGAGACTCTCAGTGAATCTCCAGATATAGTGCTTGTTCTGTTAATAAGGAAATCCTTAGCTTGGCCTCCAGGCTTAATTCACAACTATAACAGGATTGTGAAAGGGCACCTTTAGGACTGTAGGGGATTAAATTAATGGCAAGTATGGAAGTAAGTATGGAAGCTCTTGTTGGGCAGCCTAATGCAAATACTGGAATTTCTTTTCATTAACTTTCAAGCCTGTAAAGATCCAGCAAAAGTTTGAAACTCACCTCATACCCCTCTGTGCCCAGAAAAAGAAACTGTTGGGAGGGCACAGCTACCTTTGTTTTAAGATTTTAAAAAAGCCAAGATAGTGGCTATGACCACATGATTAAAACCTCACCCCTTTTTTACTTATGGCTACAATTTTGGCTTTTTTAGAAACTATCCCCCCCCCCCCAATGTCCCTCTTCATGGACCCATCCTAGGCAGTAGATGTGACTGTACTCTGCAGAAACCCCATTCCATTTGTGTAAATAACCCTTTGTTCTCTTTCTTGTCAAGGCTCTGTTTCTTCCTTTGTTCTTGCTGTTGTGGTAATGTTAAGATGCTGGCCTAGAACTTAGGAAACTTATGAGTTCTAAGCCTCCCTCAGGCACGAATGCTGATTGGATGACAGGGCCATCATTCTCTCTCAGCCTAACCCACCTCACAGGTTGTGGAGAAAACAAAAGGCAGGAGAATTCAGTCTGTTCAATGCCTTATTATGTATTTTAAAAAGTGGGATAACAACAGTTTGCCCTGATTAACAGGTGCTATGATCATGTACGATTTTGTGAGAGCAGGCATGGTATCATTTCTACACATAAGATGGCACCTGAGCAGGAAAGAAGTGGGAAATTATGCTTGCACTTGCACTGGGCAGCTGGCAACAACTCCAAGGACCAGAAAGGTTCTGGCAGGAGGTCTGCCCTCCCTTGCAGCTGGCACTGCCATTGCAGACAATGCGATCCTTTTGCAATATCTTGGCAAGCGGTTTGGGAACCCAAAGCAGAGATTCTTTTGATTCTTCACAACTGCCTGTGGCTGGATCGAAAATAGAGCCATTGGGGCAGCAATGCAAGTGGTCTGAGCTGCAGACCACCTGCAGGAAAGACAGAAAGCTGAAAAAAAAGTCAAGTTAAGCAGAATCCAAAAGTGCCATGAAAAGAGCTTGCATGAGATTGCTCAGTATTACTGCACTTTTTAAAAAGGCTTATTTAAAAAAAGGTGTTAGTCGTAATCTGGTGACTTGGCCTTGGTTTCAGATGCCACTCTCAACAAAGATTCAAATTATTTAATGTAGTCTTTACAAAAACATTTTCCTACATTTTTAAACTGCCGTAACAGATTAGCTAAATATCTGCAAAGGAAAAAAGATAGATGTCATGTCCCAACATATGAATTATTAATACTGTTGTTGCTCTCTAGCCCCATTTAGTGGCCGGAGGGACAAATACCAATTATATTGTTTGAAGCTGACCCAACCCCTTTACCCATCAGCCTGCACTCTCAAAACAAGTGCAGGCTGGGAAGCCAGACTCTATTTTCCTTTAGCATTTGAAGGAGACAGAAGCCAAGGACAAACCCACATTCCACACACGGAGCATCGCTGGTGAGATTTAGATTGTTATGTTTAGCAGAAACTCAATACTGTCTATCTTGTATTTGGTTCTCATTGTATGTATTCCTATTTCCCCCCGTTTCACCATATCCTGTTCTTTCAATAAAGCATCCAGATCTATGCACACAGTCTGTTTTATTGGAGGGTAGGTGGGTTTAGCCTGCATGTTGAGCTGCATACAGACTAACTTGTAGTGAGCACAGAACAACAGGACATAAGGTTTGTGAAAGGAACAGCATCAATGCCTGCATTAGCAGATACTTTACTTTGTTTTCATCTTGTTTTTAGAAGCTGAGGTAAATTTAGAGAAGATTTATAATAGCTACCCTGATTCCTATCCAGCTGACTCTTCCAGCTTTCCCCAAATTAATGGATTTTGTATGTGATGGCCAAGAAATCCCATCATTCCCAGTTAACACAACACAACTCTTCTCAGACAAAGATAGGCATCTTTTATTTCTTGGCTACAGTTTTTGCACTCTGAAAAACTGCTTGGGAGACTTCTTCACTTTTTGCATTGCCTAGATGAGCTACGGAAAACAGACTGGTATTGGTGGAGGGCAGTTGCTACTAAAGGCAGCAGCATGGCTGCTGTGAGAAAGGGTGGTGTTATATTCTCCTACCTTCCAGCAACCCTGCTAAAGTTCACTGGGAGAACTTACAAATGTGTGTGTGACCACCCAGGGCTGGAAAGATTGACCTCTGCCAGCATATATAGAAGTAGCATCAATCTTCCATATTTATCTTTTTAACTGATCATCACAAGACTCTGGTCTTGCATTAATCATGCCTTTTCACATCAAGGCTTCCTCGTCAAGCTTTCTGAAGCCTACTTACTTTTGGAAAAGGACAACAACCCCAGTTGCCAGAGGCCATTTTGCAGCAGGTCTCCTTATCTTTGCAGCTGCTGAAGTTATCACATTTCACCACTGTCTCCTGCCTTGCCAGAATGGGAGTCACCAAGATCCCCTGGGAAGGGCCCCCACTTTTGATGCAGAAACTGTGTTCTATATCACAGGTGTAACCATGAGGACAACAGTGTGCTTGGTCTTTGCAACAAACTGCCTATGGGAAAGAAATAGCTGTGGTGATCCAATAAGCCAAACACCATTGTTGAAATTGTTCTATGAAAGAAAAATATTAAGGTACTTAACAACTGTTTGAAGTTATGACAGCACTGAAAAAGTAACTTTATTGCTAGTCCTCACATTTACCACCTTTGCATCCCACAATCATGTGATTGCTACTTGTGCATTGCACAACAGGCTTCTGACAAGCAGAGCCAATTGACAAGCTGGCAGTAAAAGTGCATATCACAAACATGCAGTGCCTTGCATAACGATCTGTGGTGACTTGCAGATGGTAACTAACATTGTACGCCTTTCAAGGTCACGTGATGTTTCACTTAGCAACTGCATTGCTTAGCAGCAGAGTTGCCACTCCCAACTATGGCTGTTAAATGTGTCAGCCTTCCTACACATACAACTTATATCATTTCATTGTTCTCATGGTAAAAGTTCTTTCTTGTACCATATTTGGAACGTGATTTCCATCACCACCTACTGACAGTGAGATTGCATGGGAGAGAGAAACCTGGGCTTCAAAAATCAACTATCAAAATCCCATTCCATCAGCAAGCTCCGATGGCTTTAGGAGTGGGGGATGGAAGTTACCTTGCAAAACACATGGAGGATATCAGGTTGGGGAAAATTGAGGTCATTGATTAATTCACCAATAAAAGGCTTTCTCATAGTAGATCTTCCAGTGAAATGGCCTGTTGTCAGGCTGTCCCAAATGCCTCAAAGGTAATGTATGCAAATATATTCTTCCTATGAGATTCCGTGGGTAATTGATTAAATCAACCATTTATCCAAGAAGGAATATTACCTACCCTGCCTTGAAATCCTCAATTTACCTGAAAGAGGGGGCAGCATGCCCAGGCTCCTAAACGCATGCAGCATGTTTGTCCATCTGCACAGCTAAACCGGTCATCACACTTCACATCCCTGCTTGAAGGGAAGTTGCCAACAATCGCTGTTGTCTTCTCCACCCAAGGCATACGATCTCCATCTTTTAGGCAAGTGCCTGATGAATCATAGATGTAACCACTGGGGCAGCAGTGAATCTGATCCTGGCAGCAAGTGGCCTGGCAGGAGAGAGGAAGGTCATATCAGTGGCCTACTGGACCAGAAGGAATACTACTCTAAAATAAAGTAGACAAACCAAAGACCCTCAACTTCATCTGAAAACCACTTCTGATTGGAGGCTCAAACTTATGATACCCTATTTCTTGCTCTCCATCTACAAGAAGCTGAAGAATATGGAAAAGTGCAAGTTAAGGCAGAGCTTTTTTTTTCTAGAGCCTTTCCTATGAAATGAAGACTGAAGAACCTACAGCCCACATGAAATTGCTGATTTGGCCTCCTATAAAGCTGCCACATCAAATTGCCAGTGTTAGATATTTTTTTAAAAGGCTAAAATTGGTGGATTTGCTTTTGTATTAGTTCCCCTTCTGCCTCCAGATCTCAAACCCCATCAAAGAAAAGACTGAAATATGCCCCACTGCTGATTTTGCTGTACAACTTCAGAAAACTTTGGTTCCCAAAATGCTAGGTTTTAAAAAACGTTGCTCTCAGCTATGAAAAAATTGCCTGATTTTTTAATAGACCTAGGCCTCTCAGGTAAGCAGTTGTAAAACTGTAACTGGACAGTATTGGAGTCAACAACTCTGCTGCAGTTCTGCAGAAACAAACAATACAGAATGGATGAGTAAACAAAAATAACCCCCCTTCTCCTTTCCAAGACCCTCCCCCTCCAACTTTTAACACAGGAACATCCTGGAAAGCCTAGCAGCTGAGATGCATATAATTTAAGAAGGAATTACAATTTTGTGCACACCTCAAAGGGTCCCAGCTATGAGCAATCTAAGTGAGAAATGAGAGGTGAACTAAATTAGCAGAACCTGGGGAACCAGCACTTACTGAGATTAGTTCCCTTTTGTTCCTCACTCATAGACTAGACTCAATTCCACTCTTTCCTTTCTTGCATCTATTTACATAACTATGCAAATACTAGGAAGCTCCTGACAGGAAACAAAGCAATTTCACATTTCCTTTGATCCTCACAATAGCATTAAATAAGCTTAGGTCTCTTCTCACCTGTGTCAACAGGCAGCATCCCCAAGCACCTGTTATAAGGCGACAACAAGTCTGGCCATCGTGGCAAGCTGTGTAGGGATCACACTGGATCATTTGATCTATGGAAGATGCTGTAGAGCATGAATCTATTTCTGAAACTGTTGTGGAGCTTGTGTCTATTTTTGGCACCAAAGGAATGCTTTGGCCGTCTTTCAGGCAGGTGCCTTCTGACAAGTTGCACTGGTAACCCTTTGGACAACAATGGGTATGATCTGGGCAGCATGTGGCCTGGAAAAGACACAAAACACAATTAGACCATCATGGAATTCTTTGCCCAAAAAGGAGGTAGGAGGCTGTGTTTTTTTTTTTTTTATTGAGTATCTATCTGGCCAGTTGTGCCAATTCCAACTGATACATGCTTTTTGAAGTCTCTGCTGAACTTTCAAATAGCAAATACCAGGATAGAAGCTGGTATTGCTGATCTGCAGAGTATATGCTCAGTTCCTCTAAAACCAAAAATCTCTCCTGACCACCACAAGTATGCCCCCCTCCCAGCTTCCAGATTAATTAACCATGTTTTCTGACAAACATAGTTCCTCTTACCTCCTCTAGGGGACAGCACCCCCAGGATCCTGAGGTTGTCTTGCAGCAAGTATTTCCATCTGGGCATGTAAATTTTGCATCACACTGTATATCATGAGCTGCACGATGAGAAAGAAGTTATATTCAAAGAAGAATACAAAGCCTTCTCCACACTAGCTCCTCTCTTAAGCAACTGATAGACCTGCTTTCCCCAATTTGGTACCTTCCAGATTGGCTATATTGTATCTTCCAAAATTGTCAAAAAAAGATGCTGGGTTCTGTGAATGATAGCACAGCAATTCCTCCACAAAATCTAGAATATATGCATACGGAAAGGAGAAGGAATATCACCAACAATTAAGATTATTCCTGGAATCTAGGGGGGGAACTGCCCCAAGTGCTCAGTTTGGGAAAAGAAAATGAGAGGTGAAGTCTTAACAACAACATATACATCTGCACTCATAATTAGTTTATAGCAATAAATTTCTTAGTTAACTTGATTTTTACAGAATGTGAAACAAAGTACTATAATGTGTCTCTAATGTGCTTACTTTGATTTCTTTAATGTTAATGCAAAAATTATTCTCCTCTGCAGCTCAGCTGGGCATTGGGGGGGGGGGGGTGCAGGGATTTTTGCTACCAGTTCTCCGAACCACCCGCCTCCATCGCTACTGGATCAGGCGATCCGGTCTGAACCGGGAGCATTTCACCCCTGATCCTAGTCTCTTGCACATTACGTCTTAGTGAGTAATGCTTCTGGTTTCCACTATTTCTATAGACACTGCTTGGAACAGGAAACTTGCAATCTTTAAAGCTACTAACTTCCTTTGGAAGAAAGTATACTGGTACATATTTTCTCAGAAAACTAGATTCTGCCCCTCATGCCATATTTTACAGTTTTCTGCACCTGTGGAGGAAGAATCGTGCCATCAAAACCTGCTTCCTGAATTAGATCCACCAGCCATCTAGTTCTTGTTTCCCTCAGTGGCTTCCCAAATTGGCCACAAGGGCCCTACCATATGGTGAAATGAAACAGCTGCTTTGAGCACTGAACTGGCAAAAATCCCTACTCGCTACCCAATCAACGATCATTTAAAATAGAAATTAGTCCACCATCCAAAACACATGGGAAATATTTTTATTTTAAACAAAAGAAAAAAACAAATGCTATCCTTCTTTCTTCTCAGTGCCTTAGGCTGCCTTTCTCATTTATTCCAAAAAGTTCGTGCCTTTTCTTCCCAAGAGGCTAACATTCAATCTTCTTTTAAAAATTGGCTCTCCTCTCTAACTACAAGAAGCTTCTTCTGGCACCCTTATTTTACATAGGACACTTCCTTTTGGCCAATGACCTGTCACAGTACTTAATCATCCCACCTGTCTGGAGGCCTGCAGTGAGGTGGGTGATGGGCCATGATCCCTCGGGCATCATGGTGCATATGGAATGCTTCAGGTCACACTGGGTGCCCTGTGGACAACAGTGAAGGTGGTCACTGCAGCACACAGCCTAGTAAGAAAAGAAAAAGCTGAAAGCACAAACATCAGATACAATAAGTAACTGCCTGCACCTATCAAGTTTGGACAAATGGGGGGGGGAAGGCTGAAGACATGCTGCCGCTGGCTCCCATCTGAGCTGAGCACCCCATGATCATTCTTCAGTTAAGGACAGTGTGGCTTATTTAATTACTAGGCTATTAACTTAGGTCTCCTTGTGATGAACAAGTTTATCTGGAGTTTGCATCTTAGATTGAAGGAGCCAGACTAATCTTAATAGCTCAGGTGAAGTCTATAGAATTGCAGTAAGTAAAAATAAATAATTTCAGAATTATATGTGATTAATTATTTTTGTGTAAGAACAAAGAGTGGGGCGGAGAAGACTACAAAAAACTTGAAAAATGTTGGCCATTTAAAATGACCCCTAAATTTAATTGCTTGGGTCCTAATGCCTAAAAATATTGCAAACCATTGTAGCAAATAATTTGAAACAATCAAAATATAAACATAAAATGCAATATGCAAAGAAGATAGAACCAAATATGCACAGATAGAACCAAAAGAGAAAATCAGATCACCAACTAAAAGTAATTCTAATGGAGCAACACAACTCATCCTAATAGCCATGAAAACAAGTAATTCATGGCACACTATACCGTGTTTCCTATTTTCTTTTGACCCCCAAAATATGGTCTTGGCCTTATTATCAGGTGGTCTTATTATTTTTGAGGTCGAGGCCCCTAAATCTCAGCCCGCGGCAGGGGGACTAGTGCCAGAGCACCCACCAGCTGCTTCACTGGTGCTGCTAAGGCCACTGCCTCCAGCAATCGTGGCAGCTTTTTCGTTGCTTCGCGTGCAAACAGTACGAGGTGAGGTGGGGGGCGAAGGGTGGGAGAACATGCCCCACACACACCTGTCATCCATGTGGAACAGCCTCGCGGAGGCAGCTCCCACAAACACTAGCTCGCACGCCCCTTCTCTTAGTGGTGTCCGCAAAAAGAGCGGCTGCAAGAAAATCTCTTGGCGGCAAGAGTTTTTTTGTGGCCGCTCTTTGTGGAAGCCACGAAGAGAAAGGTTGCATGAGCTAGGGTTTGCAGGAGCGGCCTCTGCGAGGCCGTTCCACATGGATGACAGGTGCGGGTAGGGTGCGTAGGGCATGAGCCCCCTCCCTGGCCTTGCCTCCTCATGTCGTGTTGTTTGTGCAGTAGCTGAGCATGCATCTAAGTATTGGGGAGGGGCTTATTTTAGCCCATGCGTTCGAAAACCCAATTGGGTTTATTATCCAGACAGGTCCTAGTTTCGGGGAAACATGGTAGTAATTCATTTAAGATACCAGCAAAAGATGTGGGAGAATAAACAAGGCAGAAAATCTTTAATGAAGTCATGCTATCTAATATTCCTTGGCTAAAGGACTATCCTCTGATCAATTTCATACCTTCCTACATCCCAATACTAACTCTTTGGAAGACAATTAGCATCCAGCAAAATTACATAGGTAACAGAGGCCATTCCAGTTTTGTCAAAGAAAAGTCCAGTGATGCATTAGGATGTAGAATGGAGGCTCACTCCCACCATGAGCAGGGACAGTCTTGATTGAACAATGCAGGCACTCCTTCCCATTTGCTGCTTTGGCCAAAATCTATTCTAGTACTGCAGCCTGGCATAGTTATGTGTCACCAGAGATGGCACTGTGATGCAAGCCCTGCCCCTTTTGTAAGCACACATATAAAAGGGGTTGGGGTTGCACTTAATTTAACATCTATCGTCTTGCTTTTTTTTAACCCACCCCACACCAGCAAATGTCAATAGACACACATAGGAAATTCCTTCTAAAACTAGACCAGGATGCTAGTTCGGTAATCCTACCCTGTACTCCTACCCTGTACTTACGTTTTGTAAAGGGCAACAACCATATTCACCGGTTGGGAGCAGGCAGCAAGTGGCCGCATCTGGACAAGAAGAGTGATTACCAGGACAGATGTTTTTTTGAGTCAAATCTGCAAGATGAGCAAAGATTACCTTCTCAAAAGGTGAAATAAAAAGCCTCTGTGGGAAATATGGGCAGTGTAATGGATTGCTATCACCTTTGGTGAGCATAGGACCCTGAAGAGAAAGCATCACCCAGCCTACTCAACCTAGCAATTATAATGGATTAAAGCAGGAGTCCCCAACTCCTAGGTGCAGATCAGTCCCAGTGCCAGTCCATGGTCTGTTAGGAACTGGACTGTGCAAGCAGTGGGAGAGCAAGTGAAGGTTCATGTGTGCATGTGCAGGATCTAGTATGCACATGAAACCATTCCCTCCTTAGTGATCTGTGGAAGGCAATTTTTCTTCCAAAACTAATTCCTGATACGAGAAAGGCTGGAGACTGCTGGATTAAAGTGCAAATCTCATTATGGAACAACAGAAAAGTTACAATAAACCTAGTTCTATTTCTTTACTCCATACTTAACACCAGGGTCCGTTTCTTTGCTGGAAACTTCTTTGAAAGAGGCTGTTTCCCAAAAGTTTCAAGGCATCGTGCTTCAACTAGATCACAAGTTGTGCCTTGTGGACAGCAGTGAACCTTGTCTGCACAGCAGGACGCCTGGGGAAAAGAAGGGGATGAATGCACCATCATTCCCCAACATTATCTTTTCCTATAGTGCTCAATGAACAGCCTTGTACCAACAAGCCTCTTAAAAGTTTTATTAATCAAAACAGCACACTGGAATATTAACACAAAACCCAGACGTTTACTGTATGTGGAATGGAATATTGAATATGAAGAGTACTTGCTTGCTTCAATGATTTCACACTGCAACTTGCTTTGTGATTGTTTCTTTCATATTTTAAGCAAATATGAACTTATGGGCCAAAAACAGATTTATTAAATAAAGTTATTTTTTAAAAAATATGAACTTTTCTAAGAAACAAAATGAAGCCTGTAATGTGGCAGTCTAGGTATAGAAGTCACTTTCCTGGAAAAAAACGGATATTGTTACATACCATTTTATTTGATTTTCTGTGTTGTTTTATAGTTTTCCCTACTTGGTAATGTAATGGGAAGGCTGGTAGAAATCTTACTTCATATTTTTTAAAAAAATACATCTAGTCTCTACAGTTGCAGAGTTACATGAAATGATTTCCTTTGGTTGGACTCTGAGACAAGCTGCTCAGAACTCTGGTTGACCAGAAACTGTAATGCAAGAATGTGATTCAGTGCTTCCTCTGCCTATTAAAACCCCAAATGAACTATGCAACTGAGAAATGTTTTAAAATATTGGTGACATTTCAGCAAACTGAAGAACCTAAATATTGGCCAACGCTTTCTTATATTTTAGGAAAGCCAGTGCAGAATTGTGAAGACTTCAGAATAAGATGTTTTATGATGTAGTGCAAAACTAAACAAGTTTTGAGGGACCATGGATCTTGGGAGATGGGGGTGTGGGAGACCAGCCTACAGTAAATCCATGGTAGGAGGTGACTGAAAGTTTTGTTTCGGGGCACATGCTTAACAGGAGGAACAGTAAAAATAGGACTGGAATGCCTCTGAGAGGAACACCACGATTTTCCCTATCCCCAGTCCTAGGAAAGCACCAAAAATTCATGTTACCAGAATTCAGTCACTGATTACCTTCCACTTTCAGCCTTGTGGGTTTGTAGGCCAAAAAGACTCAAATGCAACAGAACGTTCCACTGAAATTTAGCCTTCACAAGATACTACTAAATGTAATTATCGGTAATTAAGAGTAATGCAAGTCATTTGCAGTTGCTTGCTCCACAAACAAAGAGTTTCTGACCCCAAAGAATCTCTGGACTGATGGAAAGGAGAGTGTAATTCAGTGACTTCATTTTTTAAAAAAAAATCAAAGAGTCAATTTTTATCTCTGTCTGCATGAAAATACCTTTACTTGCCCATATCTAAGCTCCCATACCTCTGGCATTGGACAACATCCCCAGGATTCATCAGCCATCAAGCAACAGGTGCAGCCATCTGGGCATTCCCATTCGCTATCTGGGCATTGAACAGCCCTGACTATGACAGCAGAGGTTGAATCTGGAATGCAAAATAAGTAAAACTTAGAAGTGACATCTTAAGTTTGAAGGCCTGGAAATGTAAAGTCTTTCTCTCTTCTGCATAAAACTGGCATTTGATTTGTCTATGCCACGAAGTTCCTGTGTAAGACGAGATTGTTTTTTAATCAAAATCAGCTTAAAATAAACTTCCTGGTAGAATAAGCACATGAAAAGCCAATATACCAAGCCTTAAATCTAACTTAATTTACCAGTATATTAAAATTAAATTTACTTAGTAGGATTATTCTGCAAACATCATTTGGTTTAATCATTCATCCATTGAACACATTTATAACTGGCAACAACTCTGGAGATCGCATCTCTTAAGGCTTTGGTGGTTGCAATATGGTTTAGGAGCCTCAGATTGTGTACTTCAGTCCCAATTGGTAAAATAACTTATTCTAAATCTTTTTGTTAAAAAAAAAAGCAGATTTAGCCTATCTTATTTGCTTAACCTAGTGAAACAAATATATCCCTCTAAGAAAGTTCCTTGAATTAACTGGGAGAGATTATTTTTGTTACTGAAGTATTGTTACTGTTCCTATGACTCAAAATTATTCCACCTTGTGTCCAAATACCTTCATTTTCTATGCAGACTCTTCCATCAGTGCTGCAGTGAGTGCCAAGGGGGCAGCAATGGTATCCATCAGCACAAGAGATGGCCTGGAGGTGAGATAAAAGAGAGGCAAAGGCCCCAAAGTATTCAGACCAGCAATACAGCATAAGATCTCACTGGAAATTGGAGTGTTACAAGTCCTGAAGTTTAACTTCTTAAACAGATGTGCCAAGTACCAAATATGACTGTGAACTAGCTGGAGAGATACAAAGGATATGTGTGCTATTTTGGTTTGCTGTACTAAGGATAGGGAAGTAAATGAAGCCACTGCACATGAGCTCAGAAGGTTTTTTTCCCCTCTTCCTTCAGTTATAATTTCTGTTTGCTTTTTACTAAGATTGCAAGTAGTATACTTCTCTTCCCGTTAGTTTTCTTAGTCAACACATTTTTTTCTCTCCATACTTGGTACCTTCTAAATGTGTTGGAACTATAGTTATCAGAATTTCAACTAATATGGCCATATGCCATGGAAATTTTGGGAATTTTAAAATAAAAGGTTCCAAAGCCATCAGTTATCTATACAATTCGAAAATATTTCAACCTAACTGTTTCTCATTTCTACTTAACCTCCATCTAGGAACCAAATCCAACAGGAAAGATATGGGAAATATATTGTCCTCTAGAAATGATAATGTATCGTTACTGCCTATCCTCCCCGATATAATTTGGATACAAGGAGCAGTGATTGAACGATATCTGAGGAACCCATGATCTTTAGATATCCTTGTATTAGAATATTTATCTTAGCTTCTCTGATCTAATAAACTTCCAGATATTAGGAACTTTAAATCCAACATTCCTAGATAGCTGGATCACTGGATACAATGACTATAAAGAATAGAAATTATAATCTTCTACATTGGAAGGCCACTGGAAGTTAAAAGCTGTTCATTTAATCTGTTACATTTCAGTTCATACAGAGCAAAGTAAGGTTGGCATGCAGATAAGAACAATTCAGGAGGTATGGGCAAATCAGTTAAACTTGCCCTATTAAAAATGGTGTTCTTATCCTTGCCAGTTCTTATCTTATTTTCAGGTCCAAAGCTCACCTCCTCCCAAGGACAGCAGGCAAAGGTGGAATTCAGGCTGAGCTGGCAGGAGTATGTCACTGGACATGTGCTAGCATCAGGACACACAACACCAGATACCTCGTTCCTGCTCTCTGGGGGCAACATGCGGAGGGATGCTCCTGTGAACTGTAAATGAAAAAAATGAGGCAACAACATGGCAGGCAACTTTGTTCCCATCCCCCAAGACACTATGCAAGTTGATGATCATCACAAAATAGCTGTAAAAAGGGAATATATATTTATATATAATGTATGTTTAGTGTTTGGTGTTTGTCATATTGTTACAAATAAAAATAAAAAAATTATCAAAAAGTATCAACAACTCCAGAGAAGCTGGATGCCCTGTAACAAAGCTGTAAAACAACAATATTCAGACTTTTTTTTTAAAAAAATGAAGTCCTTGGTGTTCTTGGAAAAAGCATATATCTCTTTGACCTACATAAATTCTCTTCTATTGGCATCTTTCCTTACGTTGTTTTATTCATGTAATCAACACAAGCTTTGCTAATGGAAATGCTTCTATCTTTTTAGGAAACCATTTTCTGCCCCATTCTTAGCAGAAGAGTAACATAACAAAAACTTATACCTGAGGCTGATCGCAGCATGTATACTTATCTCCACCAGGGAGCTTGCAACATGTTGAAGATCCTTCACATTTCTGCCCATCAGGGCATTGCAAAGAAGAAGCTGTCCTGCTGAATACCAGGAAAACTACGAAGTGCACCCACATCCTAGCCATGAACCTAGATAGGAGAATAAAGAAGTGAGGCGCTTTTTTTTAAAAAAAATTGATTTATATGCTGCCCTTCTCCGGAGACTCAGGGCGGCTTACAATGCATTAAGCAACAGCCTTCATACTTTTGTATATTTATACAAAGTCAGCTTATTGCCCCCACAAACTGGGTCCTCATTTAACCTACTTTAGAAAGGATGGAAGGCTGAGTCAACCTTGAGCCAGGTGAGATTCAAACTTACAATAATTGCAGACAGCTGGTGTTAATCACAATGCTTTTAGTCTGCTGAGCCCCCAGGCCCATTTCACCAGGCTTCAGAGCCCCACACTGCTGTCAAATACTCAGCCCCCAAAGAAGAGTCTCACCAAGCCCTTCCTCATAAATTAAGAGCTGCTGATGACCTTTATAGTGCAGAATTCTGACTTATAAGCTATTTAGTGACTCAGCAGGGAAGATCAGCTAAAAGAACCTCATGTGACAGTCATTAAAAGCAGGAGGGTAAGATCACGTGGATAAGCTGTTGTTGTAAAGCCTAGGAAAACCTGATAGCAGGAGATATATCGCCACTAAGGCCAATGTTTTATTCAGTTTTTTTCTTTCTTTCAGAGAAAATGTTTCAGAATTACATTATTCATGTAATGAGTCAAACAAATAAAATGTTTAGAAGAAAAGAGCAATTCATTTGAACATTTAATGTAATTTATAAGGGCGCAATTTTTAATACTATATAACATTTTTGATACATACAAATGAATTTCGATACAAATGCTCCCAAGTATTTTTAGAATTTAATTCAAAGCATTGCACAACTCATCTGTGTGTATATATACATATACACACACGTCTATGTGCACTCTTGCCCTCTCTCTCTCCCTCAACCATATCTCACTAGAAATGGATAAATACCCCATGAAAGTTCATAACTGATTCAACACCCTGCTAGAAGAAACCATACCCAGTCATGTCCAATTGTACATTCCAGTTTTACCATAATTCTAATTATCCCCTTCCAGCACAAGAAAGTTGTAATCTATAGATGACAACTAAAGATGTGAGATTGGAGAAGATTGAGATATCTTAATCCCACCACTGACTTTCCCTACAAAGCCTTATATATGTATTCCAGGATCCTGCTGATTGGAAGAGTACTCAAGCCCCAGTAATTAACATTCTGAAATTATTATTATTTCACCCAGAACTTCTTGTATTTTATGAAGATTAAGAAATTAAAATGCTTCAGGGCGCCATTTATGCCCAGAATTTTAAATGAATAGATATGATTATTTTAGGAAACAAATCATTCCAACTGATATCCTAGCTACCTAGGTTTAATACTTGAATACTATCCTACTTCTGACATCCCAGAGTGAGCTGTATCCAAGACCACAAAGTCGAAGTTTTTTTTATTCCCCTCTGATTTAACGGAAGCTAGTTTACTGATCAATTGTCAATAAAAAGTTATTGATTACAATTATTACAACTATAAAATTACTTTCTTTACGAGTTATACATCTAAGCATTTTCAATTGATGCAGAAGTCACTTAGAAAAGAGCCAATTAAACCTCTGCTACAGAAGCTCACAAATTTTAGCTATTTGGCTGTTTGCAAAAAAAGCAATATTCAAGTTGATATATACACTAGATCTCATTGTACACTCTGATCTAGAAAAAATTATTCAACCCAATCCAACTTGTCTTTATCATTAATTAAGCAAGTCAAGTTGTACTACTCACATATTTATTATATGCTTCATAATATATTACCGCTTATGAGTTGCCCCACAGAGTAGTAACCAGCTACATAATATCATTATCAGAATGAGCAGGAAATTGAAACAAGGAGAATGCCTATGCATGCACAATGTGACAATTCAGAAACATCTGCTTGTGAGAATGGTGAAATTGGTTACCATTGATTAACAGTTCCTTCTTTTTGTTTCCATATTCTCTTGCACCATTTGATAGTCATGAATGAATGCCAAGTTAGTTAAAATGCATATGCATATAATTATCCCAGGTCCTATGTTCACAACACTTCCCACAAGCTCCGGTCCCAAAGCCCATGGTGCTCCAGAGCAACTACCACTTCAGTGGAGAATCATTCGACCAAAAAATAAATTGACCTCAAGTAGAGGGTTGAAAACTGCTAAAAGCATGTACTCCACTCATTCTCATACAGACCATTTAGAAATTTTAGATGCTTACGCACAGTTCCTCAAACAATACTATACATATTCTCCAATCTCAATAACATATGCACACAAAATTCACAGCCCCTCCTCCTCTGATAAGCCACACAAATTGAGTAACCATTTTGTCTGTTCCAACAATAAGAAAACTTCCTTTTTTCACTCCCTCAATCTCAGAGAGCTTTAATTGTTCAGAACTAAATTTTTTGTCTCTCAAGGCAAATCTGAGTTTGCCAAATGAAATGTAACAGCTTGTGAACCCATGCAGCCCTCAGTTTTTTTATACATACAGTTTGTGGTTACAAATAAAAGAACTGAGATCTTGTATTGAAAAACAATTACTGCAAGAAGAGAAATTACTGTACTTAACAGTATTTGCATAAGATTTGAGCAAGGCTGGGAAAAGGAAAGTGAGGAAAATCAGATTTTGTCAGTCCTCCAGGAAACATGATTAAATGAAATAAATCTATTTTATTATAAGGCTACATTAACAGAAACTTGCAAGTTTGAAAGTACAAATTTCTTGCCACTACATTTAATTGCTTGAGCCATTAGGGTGCATCCTTCCTAGGTTTCTTTCTCTGACCCCACAAAACCACTGGGTCTCCTGCCTCTCTTGTCCAATTCTTTCCTAGGCAGCATCTCTTCCCCAAAGCCATCCACACATTCCATTACAGATCCACTGAAAATCAGATGAACTTGAGCAATGAGCAAAATCAGATGAACTTGAGCAAAGTTCTTCACTTATGCAGTTCTCAACTCTATCCTGAAAATGAAAGGTATGACAGGAGCCTGTTCTAAACCCATACCCTTCCAGCAGCCATCTGATATGAAACATAGGTTTGACTACCTGAAGCACTGAAATTTACTTCTGCAAAATAGCTCCAGTGAGAAATGGAGAGAGAAATCTGTGCTCTGGGACAATTAAATCAATTGTTCCTTCCCAGTCAGACACACAATTCTCAGCAGGCATCAAGTAACTGTAAAGAAAATCAAGGCAGAAATTCATTTGAAAATCCAGGAACTCCATTTATTACCCTAAAATCCCTGGGGGCTGTTGAGGAGTGCTAATTTCCCCTCTTATGAAATGCCTTACAAGGGTTTTTTTCCCCCCTAGTCATCTCTCTGCTCTAACCTTTTTCCATAGTCATCTCTCTGCTTTAACCTTTTTCCATGTTTTGGAAACCATGTTTTGTTGAATGGAAAAGTCAGGGAGAGGGCATGCTGTCTGTTCATCTAGGTCAGCAATATCAGCATCAGAAGAACCTGTGAATGTAGCAACTTGCAAATAGTTGCTACATTAAAGAACCACAACATTTCCAAATGCTGTAAGTCTGAATCTGTACAGCTATATACATACATGTGCATCTCACACCACAGAGCCATCCAAACCCAACAAGCTGCTTGATTATCTCCGGTAGGAAAAGCATCTCTTAAAAGCACTAGGGAGGAAATTCCATTGGATAGAAGACTTGGACCTGGTGGTTCCCATCACACACTTAACTCCTCACGAGGATTGTTTTAATAGGTCATTCTCGGCAGTCTGGTGATTCAAGGAGGAGTCAACAGCTTAGAAGAGGGCTCTTAGGATTATTGGCCTCAGGCCAGTACAGGCAGGATGGCTATGTCGACATCTGCAAGAGCCAAATCCTGGCTCTAAGGATATCCCGCAAAGAGATGACGAAGGATTATTCCTGCCCCCCAATCCTCCCATCAACTATGGGAGACGCTGAACGAACGCCAGCATAGAAAGGTAGAGCCCCATCAGATTCCCCCCCCCATTTTGTCTCCCACAGAACCAAGCAGTAAAAACTAAAAGTGATCCCCCCAACTTTGGTTCCCCCTCCCCTTTGCATGTCATACACTCATAAGCATCCGAATACAGCCTAACGGAGCAGTCTACAGAAAGGACGATGGAGCCTTTCCACGTCGCCAAAGCGATGCGCCAGAAAACTCACCTTCGGCACCGGCGATCCCGATGTTGGGGCTACTAAACCTCTGCACAGCAGTAGCAACAGCAGCTTACCTTGCAAGTAAGCAAGCAAAACTAAGTCTCAAACCAGGCCACGCCCCTCTAATTCGGTTTCACCCTCTCGCCCTTCCCTACTCCATTGGGATTGGCTACTTTTTCTCCAGGAGGGCGTGGAGGCGAAAGGGAAACACCGCAGCTCTTTGTTTTGGATTGGTGGGTTTTCTACCTAATCCCACCTCCCCAGCCGAATGTAGAATGCTGAAATACCACGAGATCATAATTGGCCGAGACTCAAACCCTCCAGAGGTTCAAATAAGATTTCGGGGGCACGTGACAAAGGTGGGAGGAGGGATTTACCCGGGTGGGGTGGGGTGGGGGATCGATTCAAGCGCCGGAACCTGTTATGTTGATTGAGCGGCTGCCGGGGCCGCAGGCCGGAAATGGTAATCAAAAAGAGCGTCTCTCTCTCTCTCTTAAAGGTGTACACAGTGTTTCGAGTCGCCGCTCCAGATATGTGAGGGCGATGATTTTATTGGCCCCTTTCGAAGACATGACAAGGCACCCAGCCTTTCGGGCACTTTAGGCAAAACAAAGTACAAAGAAAGTAGGAGGGGAGGAAAGGTCTATGGCCCTGGGCTCTAGGTTTCACAAGGCACGTGGGAGTACTTCCCTGCTATTTCAACTTAATAGTTTCAGTCTTCAGTCTAGTTCAGAGGGTCGAAGTCTATGCATATTAAAAAGGGTTGAGGTTGAGAAACACTGCTCTGTCCTACACTTCTGCCTTTTAATGCTTTGTTTCTTATAAGATTATCTCCACTTATCGCTTGCTGATTTAATAGCGTTAGTTTCCGATAATTGCAGAACAGTTAGGTTTTGTTTATAACATACCACTTCAAGACTGCAGCTGTGTGCAAGAGTTAGGCAAAGGCCAGCAGCTCACATAGGGTATTCACTACATATCAAGGAGGAGCTACTGAGAACATTTGAAATCATGTTTTTAAATTAATATGTGACCATGTAATTAGGAACCAATAGAGAGTGCAATTTCAAGTAGTTCCAGCATTCAGAATAATGGGATTTTTCTCCGAAGTTTTATCATGCAATTCAATAATTAGTTAATTCAATAATTTATAGGAAAGGCTTAATAGCTGAACAGTGTCTTTTGGTTGATAATAGTAGACATTGCCCATCTGAATCCCTTTTAATTATTAGAGCAACCAGGAATATATAGCACATGGTACCTGTGTTCAGAGGTATTTTTTTCCCTATGATATCCCAAATGAGATTAGTTTTTAATAGTTTTCTATATGGAAACTTTTTTTCTTTTTTAACTGGAGTAAAGTTCTATTTTGTAAATGCCTCCCTCCATTTTTGTAATCTAAGCTGGTATAGATCAGAAAATATCTTATTAAAATTATTATTTATAAAATATTTATTAAAAGTGGGAAAGTATAGATGAAACAGGTATTTTTGAATAACAAACTTGAATATCCTGTTTTTCAAACCAGTGACAGATTCCTTAAAAATATCTCCTTTGATTTTAAAATGCAATTAATACAACAAACAAATTTATGTGTACTGGACACCTCGGAGAATGCTTAGTAAAGGCAAATTATTGGTAGTCGTGCTATTAGGATTTTAAGAGCTGAAATGTTAACTAGTATAGTTAATATACTATACATCCATTTAAAAGGGACGCAGTGGCTAAGACACTGAACTTGTTGATCAAAAGGTCGGCATTTCAGCGGTTTGAATCCCTAGTGCTGGGTAATGGTGTGAGCTCCCGTTACTTGTCCCAGCTTCTGCCAACCTAGGAATTCGAAAGCACATAAAAAATGCAACTAGAAAAATAGGGACCACCTTTGGTGGGAAGGTAACAGTGTTCCATGCGCCTTTGGCGTTTAGTCATGCCGTGACCACGGAGATATCTTCAGACAGTGCTGGCTCTTCAGCTTTGAAACTGAGATGAGCACCGTCCCCTAGAATCAGGAACGACTAGCACATATGTGCGAGGGGAACCTTTACCTTTATTAACTATACTAGTTAGTTAATGTTAACTAGTATAGTTAACTGAAATGTTAATTTTCTTCTTCTTCTTGTGCCATATCTGTCATTGGACGTTGGCGATCATGTTGGCAATCCTATTTTTGTCAACAGCCGTATGAAAAAGTGCTGCTGAGTTTTGTCCAAACTAGTTCCTTAGGTTTTGAAGCCATCATGTTCTTCTGCCCAGACCTCATTTGCCTTCAATCTTTCCTTGGAGGATTAAGTGAAGGATGCCTTATTTTTCTGGGTGCCACATCACATGTCCAAAATATTCTAACTTTTGCTTTTTAATGGTTTTGATGATTTCTCTTTGCTTTCCCAGGCGGCTTATCACCTCATTATTTGTGATTTTGTTAACCCAGCTTATACATAACAGTTGTCTGTAAAATCCACATTTCAAATGCTTCTAGTTTCTTCAAGTGATTTTCTTAACTAGAAATATTAACTAGTTATAGTTAATATACTAGTACAGTTAATATACTAGTGCAGGAGTGGGCAAGTGTGGCCCTTTTACAACCTGTGGACTTCAACTCCGTCTGGCTGTCTCAGGAATTCTGGGAGCTGAAGTCCACAGGTTGTAAAAGGGCCACACTTGCCCACCCCTGGTGCTTTTTGGTGTAGATTTTTAAGCCGAAAACAGTTTTGCCAGTGCAGATTATAATACACAAACTTTCACCAGTATCCATAATAGATACTGGTGATAGCTCAGAGCTATCAAGATTTGGTCCTTTGCTGAGAGTCTGTATCCGAAGGTCTCGCGATAGCTACATAATCCACAACTAGGGGCGAGGGCGGGGCGATAAGATGGGGTGTGTGTGTGTGTACACACACACACCGTGGAAGGCCTTTGTTACTCGCATCTTTGTTCGGGGGGGAGGGGGGCGGCGGAGGGAAACGAGTCTCACAGCTTGTCTCTCCCTTGACCGGAAGCTTTGCTTCCTGTCGGGAAGCTGAGGCGGGGGGGGGGGGGGCTGTCGGAAGGCAGGATAGAAGCTGGAAACGACTCCCGATTTAAACGAGCCAATGGAATTTGTGGCTGGTCCCCCGGTAGAGTCGCACAGTGACATTCAGTGCCAGCAAAAGGGGAGGATCCCCCTTGGCTGACGAAGAGCAAAGGTTCTTTGTCAGGAGAAGGCAACGGTAACTCGTGAGGTATAAATTGTTGCCGGCGTATTAGGACAGAAACACATGAGCAAAATTACAAGAGATTTTTTTTATAGAATAAAATTGTTTATTTTTGCTATTAGACTAAAATGACATGGCCTTAGCCCTGCTGATAATTTTAAAAAGGATGCCTTGACAGGTGTATTGTAATGAATTGTACGAAGAATGGCGTTTATGTCCTCCAAAGATGATCTTCAACAATACCTTGCAAGAATATTTTTATTTCTGGAAATTAACCATAGCGAAGGCATTAAGGAGGATTTTCTTCTTTAAATAAAAGGGAGACTTTGCACTGGTTGTGTTACCAAAAGTGTGAGATGATATATCATAATCTTCCTTAACCTTATATTTTTGGGATGTGTTGAATCAGTTTCCACAGTAGTGGAAGCCAGTAGTTTACGCATTTGTATAACATCTGTAAAAGTTGGAGAAAGTTAACCATATGAACTAATGAAGGAACTTGCTGGTCTCCATTTCCCAAGTTTGTCATGCAAATTATTAAAATGCTTACCTACATTTATTGAGAGGACAATAGGCTTGTGGAGTATTTTCAAGCATCGAATTATTATCATCTATTCCCAACTTGAGAACAATACTGCTGCACTATTTTTGCAGCATCCCCCTCACAGGGCCATACAGAGAGAAACCAGTTTTAATAACATAATTGGGAGATCTTTAAGGGGTATTAGAGCTATGGATTTAAAAAAACTCAAAAATGTTTTAAAAAGGCATTGGGGAAACCACATATCTATGGCTGACAAGCTCCCGTCATTACTCGAACAATATCTGATCTGAAAGAGATTTACTTATCTCCACACAGTGTGGGACATCATTGACATACAACACACATTACTTTCGTGTTCCTTTTCCCGCTTCAATATTCAGTAAACTTTAAAAGCCATCACTCATAGGTTTCTATCACCACCAAATGCAAAAAGGAGAAGACTGGAATGTTAAAAGAATATCAGGCAACTCAATTATGAACTAGCCCAATAATATGAAGCTACTTTTATAAGACAGGTTTTATTTAAAGACCTAATTTTCTGTATTGCCATTCTAAAGATTTATTCTCTATAAACAGCAACTATTACCTCTTGTTTCAGATAAACAGATAGAAGAAATAATGAACCTTGAAATACATTCTAATTTTATTTACCTATAGGCCAGCAGCCTTTCCTTATCCATTCTTCTATTCTGCCCTTACAGGTCTGAGAACTGTATAAACAGCTGCCTTAAAATCACCAGAAGTCACACTGAGGGAATCTGTTTCTTTTATCTACAGACATGCTGGATGTGGGGGAGGAGAGTCTGTATCCTTTTTAGTATTTTTAAATACATACAGTACTTCTGTAAGTCTCAGTTTTTCCACACACTGTACTTTTCAGTTAATTTTGTTTCCTATTCTATTACTGAGATTTTTATTCTAGGCCAGGGCTGGCAAGCTCCCGGCCCACGGCCTAGATGTGTCATGCACTGGCCATACTCATTTTAGCGAAGGGGGAAAAAGTCCTGGTACGTCACATGATGCCACTGTGACGACGTGAGTTTGACATCCCTGCTCTAGGCTAATCAAAAGCCCCTGGACAATTCAAACACTGATGGCATCAAAATGTGATAATGCAATTAGATGCCTTATGTACCAGAATTGCTTTTATGGCTCTGTGGTTTTATTCCATAAAGATGATAGCCACAATGTACAGATAGTCTTTGACTTACAACAGTTCATTTAGTGACCATTCAAAATTACAACAGCACTGAAAAAAGTGAGTTATTATTGTATTTCACACTTAACTACTGTTGCAGCATCCTGAAGGTCAGTGATCAAAATTTAGACCCTTGGTAACTGACTCATATTTATGATGATTGCAGCATCCCAGGGTCATGTGATCACCTTTTGCGACCTTCTGACAAGAAAGTCAATGGAAAAGCCTGATTAACTTAAGAACTGTGTCACTAATTTAACAACTGCATTAATTCACTTAACAACTATAGCAAGAAATATCATAAAATGGGGCAAAATTCACTTAACAAATGTCTTGCTTAGTAACAGAAATTTTGGGCTCAGTTGTGGTCATAAATCGAGGACTACCTGAATATGTGCTCACGTTTTAAAGAAGTTAAACCTGTGAATCAGAACAGAAATACCTCTTGTTATGAATCAAATAATAGCTAAAGCTTTAAGTTATATAAATCCAATCAAATACTAATTGATAGCCAAGACCTAGATTTTCTCTTATCTCACTTATTTCAGCTGAATCTGAATTTTTTGTAGTCTCAAAGACTACATAGACTAGCCAAGATATTTAAAAATATTTTATCCTTATTCACATTGCTCCACATTATTCCTAACTTTCATAAAATTCCTTCTGCCCCCCCCCCCAAATTTTTATTCATCATCACAAAATGTTTGAAATTGCTGTATTTTTAAGCAGCTCAAACATTTAGAATAGAGTCTAGACTCTAGAGCAGGCAATCCAACTTTAGTCCTCTCCATCCCACCCACACAGTAGTGACTAAGACTGCATTGTTCACTTTGAAGGCTGCTGCTTCTTGTGCAGGCAAACATATGTACTTTCCACACTGAATAATGTTTACTGCTTCCATGTATAAATGTTAAGATTAGCATATTGTATTTATTCACTCTATTCTGATGTTTGTGCGAAAGGGGAGGACGCCAAACTGCTAAGACAGCTATAGTTACTTTATACCTTTTCCTAATAGTAATTGTAATTCAGGAATGAAGTTTCCCCCCAATATTGTCCCTTGCACTTGCCTTCCAGGTCTTAGGTTATTATTAAAGAGTTATAGCTTTGAAAAGAGATAGTATAAATAAGCTACCAATAAACCAGTAATTCCCTCTCTTGTGTGAGATCTGTCTTTCGAAAAGGTAATCCTTCTATTAGTTTCAGAGGGACATCAAAGCTTAGAAGAAAAATAAACCCTCTTGGGAGAGGAAATCACCACTGTGCAATGTTGCTGTGATAAATTCAGAAGATTTATATATTAATACCATTCTAAAGAACAAATAGGAAGGTTCACCAACAATAGCACTGAGTCCTCTATTTTGCCAAATTTGATCAACTACGGTATTTTTTCTTCAGATCATTAAAAAAACCTCAAATGCTTGTTTGGCAGTTTGAGGTCACTGGAGAAAGTAGAAGATAGTTAAAGATACATGTATATCAGAGGGCATACCTTGCTATTAGCTCCTGGATGCAAGGTTTTTTTTCAGCTATAAAATTATAGAAAGCAGCATTGTACATTGATTGGAAGTAAAAAAATTCTGGTTCTGAGGTTTTGTGTGGGGTGACGGAATGATTAATACTTCCTTGACTTTTTAAAAACTTTCTTCGGGTTTGACTAAAATCCCACTATCTTTGTAGAGCGCTATAATTATCAGATCACACCAGTGTGATATCTTAAAACCATGTTAGGCACAGCTTTACTTGAGAGAGATTAGTGATTAACTGGGTAGTCAGGTTACAAATACAGAATTCTCTTGCACTACTCAGATAATATCTATCATTAGTGGAACATGGAAAGAGACAAAATGTTTTGAGAGAATGGTCTTGCAGTGTCACTCGCAGTTGGAAAAAGGTTATACCTGATTTACAGAACATAAATAGTTCTCAAATGAATAAGTTGCAAAATTAATCAGATATGAACATTTTCTGCAATTTTGGGTCAAGACTTCATGTAAGTAATTGGATTATTTCTGAAGCAGTTTGAAAAGTATTAATCTTGCATCAGTCACATTGGGTACTGGGGAGTTCCACAGTTAGTGATTCCAATGATGGTCTTTCAGGAAAAAAAATCCTATGAACATAAAAACGATTCAATGTAATGCTGTGGAAGAAGGCAAAATATGGAAATTACTTAAATAATTAAAAGAAAATAATCTCAAGGCAATTATTGAACTGAAAAAAATAATTTGAATTATAATGGAAAAAAATCATCTTTATACAAATAGCGCTCAGTCCCAGAACCTTTTTTCATTAGTAAGGCTCATCCCTGGAGCAAGCAAATAAAAACCAATATTTTTGAGCATATAGTAAGTGCTCCTTTCACACTGTAAGTTATGTTCTATTCTGAAAATATCAACTAAAGTTGAAATGAATAAAGACCTATTTTTAAGTCAGATTATCCAGATCTTGGCAAAGAAAGAAGTGCCCTTCAGAAAAGACAATATCTTCAAGCAGAGAGAGAAAAATGACAATTAGAAAAAATAAGAAAACCAAGAAATGCAGACAAATAGATCAAGTAACTAAAACAGTAGGGGAAGATGTGCTCTAGGTAACCAACTTAGGCCTCTAATGAGGAATCTGTCCTTTCTCTAGCAATTTTCAGGGCTGGAGATGATGGGGGTGGGTTTGAAAGAAAGAGAAAAGGATGGGATAAAATCCTACCCACTTTCAATTCTGGCCCAGCTGTCATTAACATGTAGCCTCCCAGTTTACTTCTAAAGAATGTTGCCCTCAAAAGTTAAGAATTCCCACCTCTATTTTAAGGTCTTCAAATCTCAGTATAAAGGCGAGTCTGAAATAAAATATTTCCCCAAATTATTTCAGCCTTTGCTGCCTTCTGTTATTACAAAAGGATGTGAGCCTGATTGATAAAAGTCCTATTGTCTTTAAACACAAAAATAAAATGCTAAAAAGGCTCTTAGATTCCACTTTCTTATTTGTAGCCACTATGTGCCCAACCCCATTTATTATCTTCCAATTTGATTGACAAAAAAAAATCAGTGTGGGGCTGTCTAGTAGTTCCCCATTCCTTTCTACAGATGAAATCATGTGCTACAATGGGCTCCAAGATCTCCACAAATGCCTTACTTGGGATTGCTCATCATGCCTATTACTTTTGTAAGACCAAGTAAGACCTGGTCCTGCTGCTCTTTAAGATCCCAAACACCACAACTGTGTTGCTGGTTGGCTCAATTCCCTAAGTCTGTGCTGATGGCTTAGCAAGTTGGCCCCTATGTTTACAAGCAGAGATGTGTCAGTTGGTTTTTCCTTCAGCAATCCCCCTTCTTGATCCCCCTGCCAAGCACTCACTGCAGGAAAAAAGGGGATTATACAGAAAGGAAGATCTGAGCAGCTATGAACAGATGGTATGCCTGTATGCCTCTACAGATATCAAGATTTCATTCACAGCTGCCTGGTTGGGCGGAGGGAGGGAGACATTGGGGCCAGAAGGCACTTGGAGGAGACAGAGGAGTTGCAGGCACAAGGAAAAAAGGGGGAGGGGGCACAGAGATGACTCCAATAAGGAGTTCATTTGGCAGCGAGGTCAGACACATCTATCCACACATACATGGCTCAGACTCCCACCCACCACTGACGTACACGCATGCACACACATATGTATATTACCCACACTAATGCCCAAATTTCCCCAAACCCACCCTCCTTGTCTGGGCCCTGTACTGTAATCCAAATTGTTGGATCATAAAAGGATGACAGGCACAGATGGACATCAACCTAGAGCCCTGGGCACCCCTCCAAGCTTTTGGCTTAGAAAATCCACAGGACTTAATTTTAAAAAAGAACTGTACAAAGCCCTGAGGGCAAGAGGGTTGTAGAGTTGAGTCATGCCTTTCCACTGCACCTCTGTTCCCAAAGTGTCAGGACAGAGGGACAGCACTAGTTCTGGTTATACCAAACTGGGTGGGAAATAAGGGATTCTAGGAACTGGAACCACATGGGACAAGCAGTATCCTCTCCACAGATTGACAAGAGTTACAGAACAATGAAACTTCCTTCGCTGTCATTACATCCTTTGTAATTTCTGTGCCCCGGATTGCTTGGTTCACAGTGGTTGGTGGAAACAAAGAGGCCAAATTTTCTTAGGTAGTTTGCTGTGGCACTTCTTAACCTGCCTTGAGCAAGACAGCATCTTTAGTGGCTGGGGGAAAAAAACATTAATGCAGCTTGGCTGCATTATTTCTTGCTCTGTTCATTCATCTCTTCTGTCAAAACATAAGGGCTTCAGTTCAGCTGAGCACTTGAGATGGAGAGAAAAGGAAGCCAGACGAGATTCAAAGGCAATACTGATCTCCATGGTTCTGGTGCCTTATCCTCCCCCACCCAAAGTATACAATGAGGGTGAACTGTCTTCCTCCTCCTAGCTACTTCACATTGAAGACCATGAGAGGTCGTTCTTCACGTTTCTGCCATGGACTCTTCTTGTCTCCCTGGTCATCAGTTCCTTCAGAAGGTTCGTTGCTGTCATCTTCTGGGCTGGTCATTGAGTCACGGCGCAGTTCGCTATTGCTGTTGCTGCTGCGAGAGCTGTTGCCACGGCTGCGCCC